AATAAAATTACCAGAAAGATTTGGAGATTATGATTTGAATTTGGTAGAAGTCAATATTCCTACTACATATGAAGAAGCTGTGACTGGAAAAGATGCTGAGGAATGGAAAAAGGCTATTGAAGAAGAAATTCTAGCCCTGAATCAAAATAAAACTTGGATACTGCAAGACTTACCTGACGGCAAGAAGGCTATTGAGTCAAAGTGGGTGTTTCGTGTGAAAGATGAAAATCAAGATAAACCTGCTCGTTATAAAGCAAGGTTGTGTGCAAAAGGTTTTGCACAACAAAAAGATATAGATTATACTGAAATTTTCTCACCAACTACTCGTTATGATAGTAGCCGAGTATTATTATCAGTTGCTGCAAACAAGAACTATTCAATTAGGCAATTCGACATAAAAACAGCTTTTCTCTATGGGGACCTAAATGAAGAAATATATATGGAAGTGCCTAAAGGTTTTTCAACAATCAGTAACAAAGTGTGTAGACTTCTGAAGTCATTGTATGGATTAAAACAATCTCCAAGATGTTGGAATCAAAAATTCAACTGTGTTCTAACACAATATGGTTTTAAACAATTTGATTCAGAAAAGTGTGTCTACAGAGGTACTGTAAATGGTGACTTAGTATTGCTCGTTATTTATGTTGACGATGGACTGCTCCTATCTTCGAGTGAAAATGCACTGGAAATCATTTTAGCAAAATTACAAACAAACTTTGAAGTTAAAGTAAACATCAAAGTTAACAATTTTGTTGGACTCGAAATAGTACAAGAAGAAGACTTTATTTTTATTCATCAAGAAAGTTATATCAATAAACTCATTGAAAAATTTGGTATGCAAGAAGCAAATCCTATGGATATACCGGCTGACCCGAATCAGGATTTAACTAGAAATTCAACTGATCATTCATTTGTTGGCCCATATAGAGAGGTAGTTGGATCTTTAATATTTGCTGCCATTGTATCAAGGCCAGACATTTCCTATGCAGTGGGAGTTGTGAGCAGATTTTTAAACAATCCAACAAATGAACAATGGAATGCAGTGAAAAGAATAATCAAATATTTGAAACGGACATCAAGCTATGGTATAAAATATAAAAAGCTAGAAAATTGGGATCTAGAAGGATTTTGTGATTCCGATTATGCCACAGACAAAGAAACAAGAAGATCTATAACAGGTTATGTCTTCAAAGCAAGTGATGGTCCGATAACATGGTGTAGCAAAAGACAACAAGGAGTATCTTTGTCAACAACCGAAGCTGAATATGTGGCAGCTTGTCAGGCAACAAAAGAAGCTATATGGCTACGCAGATTGATGCAAGAAATTGGAATTACCTTTGATCATCCCACAAAGCTATATATTGATAATCAAAGTGCTATCAGACTGATACGTAATCCAGAATTCCATAGTCGAAGCAAACACATCGACATCAAGTTCCATTTTATACGAGAGAAGTACGAAAGTTGTGAAATTGAGCCCGAGTATGTTAATACGAAAAATGAAGAAGCTGATATTCTTACTAAAGCCCTACCTCGTGAACATTTTCAAAACCTAAGGTACAAGATGGGACTGCAAAATTTGCATTAAAAAGGAACTGAAATACATACAAAGACTATTTTATAGAAGAATTAGATTTATTTGAAATAATCAAAAAGTGGGAGTATTGGAAATATTTAATTTTGTGTATTTCTCTTATTTCAGCATGAATTGTATAATATTTTCAGTTTGGCAATATTGTTTTATGAGCTTGACATTTTGTTATAGTTTTTTGACAAGTGTCAAATATAGTCCTTGTAGAAGTGTAGCTTGCTCCTGTAATTTTGCTTTTAATTCATTATTAAAAGCTTCTGCAGTAAAGTTTTCGTGCTTAATAGATTTCTTAAATTATAAGAAACCTGAAACTCCAAAAGATCTACATCTTGCCTCGCATTTAAATCACCTTGGAACCTGTTTCTCTCAGTTGGCGTGCTTCGACGAGAGCATAACAAGCTCGAAACCGGAGCTTTGGTTAAATACTCGTGTTTTCTAGAGAAGTTTTCCAACAACTCTTTCACTGCCTTTAATATAAAAGGGCTGAAACGAGCATTATTTGGAAGCGAAAATAAACATTCCAAGTATATCCTTAGAATCAAACAAGAATGTTATGTCTAGGATGCATATTGAGAATGATATATGTAGATATATTCTAAGAATATTTCAAGCATATTGGTATAATATTCTTTTGAGAACATAACTATAATGTCATAGAAACATTCTTCGAATGTGAGAATATAGGTACGTTTCGAGCATATTTTTAGAATCAAACAGGAATATTCTTTTAAGGACGTACTGAGAATCTCATAGGTATATTCTAGGAATATCCTAATGGATTTCCCAGGAAGTTCTTGGGTATTGCAAACAGTATTTCTACAATCTTTTCTCAGAACATTCTCAGGACATTCGCAATGGTTTTGGCGAACATTCTAGGCACATTCCTCCTAAAAAAAGAACATTCTTAATACATTCTAAGGATGCAATTTTGTTATGTGGGTAGTGGGTACCTACATAAAAAAAATGATACTTGTTTTACACTAAGTAGTTTTGGTAATTTTTGCCACTCGTATAATGATTATTCTGAAAATGTTTTTCATCACATTTTCGAAATAATCTGAAGTTGGTGTTTTGGGCATTTCAGCAACTAAAGATGGAAGGATTTGGTAATCTCAATATTATTATACCTACTTAAATGATGAATCATCATTGAAGCACTGAAGTATGAAAAAGAGGGACTAGGGTTATGTAAACAAGCTATTGTACCTTTCTTTTCTTATCTATTTTTATATTCGTCATTCGGCAGTAGACTATTGTGGAGGAATAAGGTGTTAAAAAATTACCTAAGCTATGATCCTTCTACCCTTAAAATCAGAATTTTGGTAAGCTACTTGTTGAGCATGTTTGGTATTAGACTTTAAGCATTTGGCTGTAGATGTTTTCAATAACTTCCTCTTAACAATTGAAGTTGCGTTTCACTGACATCAAGGGAAACAAATAGGTTTGATTATTTCTTTTTCGTAATTGGTGTCCCTTGGGGAAGCCTAATGTCATAGTAGTCCTGGATCCCATTTGTTACACTATTAAAGGTGAGTGTAGCAGTGGGGCACTATCGAATACCGGCGAGAAATGGTTGAATTATGATTTGCTGTTGGGTGTCAGCTGCATAACGTGGTTTCGTGTGAATTCAGCCTAATGGGGCTTTATTAGAATAGCTGAATGCTCTTTAATTTTGCCTGTCAAAATTGTTTTTGTGTTTTCCAGATAAAGAATCAAGTGATCATGTTCTATATTATGGCTGAAATGAAATGGTCACGACTCTAAGGAGGAATAAAAAACCTTTCAAAGGAGGTATCACACGGGGTAGTTTCTCATTTTAGAAAAATCATTAGGGGGGGAGCAAGCCTCCAAGACAGTAGGGGTAGAGGTTAGGCAATAAACTAATTTTTTTTCTCCGATGTGTATTTGACACTTTTATGACAGAATTCTTTTGTCTGAGATAGGTAGTCAAAATTTAGGAACTTTAAAAAAATTTGTTTATTTTTAAACACCGATATGTCAAAAACTAATTGTACGATTTGATATTTTGCTATAGGACTGTAAAAGGAAAGCTAGTAGCTATCCAACGATGTGCAACACAAGGTAGGTTCGTATTTGAAAAAAATAAGTTAGGGTAGCTTTTCCTTAACAGGTGAGGCGAGGTGAACACTATTGCTCTCTTGCTCTAAGAACACCGTTTTCTTGTAGGTTTAAGGTATAATAATTAAGTAAATTAAAACATTCATATTTAGATAGATAGGTAGAAACAATAGAAAAAAATCGTCGGGCATATTTGACTGACGTTGCCCCCTCCATGTCCAAGTCCATGGAAATATCCTGGGTGGCCACGTTCGTCATATTATATAACTGACATAGAAAAATGGTGGGGAAAGCTAAAAACAAACAAAAAAAATACTATAAACAATATAGTCTATCATATCAGCCACTTTTCAATAAAAATTAAGAGAAAAACACGTGAGGCCTCGTGGGATATTTTCCTAATATACACGTGGCATGCAATGTGTTGAAAGAGCTGTGAGGCAAAAGCTGTCTCAGTATCATTTTTGGAAAATTTTCAATGTTCGATAAATTCAATTTTGAAGCTTCTCATAAGTACAAAACTGTTGAAACAAAAATATGCAATTTTTTCTAGTTAAGTAAACACAAAAACTATCACAAAAACTCAATAGAAACCTTGGGTCAAATTTCAACTATAGGAAAGCCTTGAAAATAGTAACATAAGATCAGATCATATTAGTATATATTTTTTGAAATTCAATGAATAAATTCGACTGTAAGATCATTCACAAATGACAATTTTTCAAATCAAAAAAAAAAAATCTCATCTTGGTCCCTAGAAATTTGTTGAAATCTCAACAAAGTTATATAAATAATCATTGCTTTATCTTCGATAGTACCTATTTGAGCAAATATAGGCTTTATAATTATGTATTCTAAAGAGCATTGAATTCTTTTATAAACTGTACAAAATCATATCTGGTAACTTATAGAGCTTCTGAGCTATTGAGCTACAAAGTTGAACTTTCTCAACAACATTAAACCTAGCAACGTGGTAAGGTATAAAAAAAAACAATCACTAACATAAAAATGCAAAAGGCAAGATAATTGTGCGTGGGAACAGATAGGAATAAGAATCCCATAAAAATGGAAATATCCGAAGAAGAGACCAAGCTAAATAAGATGAAACAAATGTATACAAAAAAACAGCAGTAGAATTTGATTCCATGTGCTTTAAAATGTAAAAAATTAGTTTTCAAAGACTAGGTACCTATCCAAAACTTTAATAATAATATGTAATTTCTCATTTAAATATATTTCAAAGAACAATACTTAATTATAATTTATAGGTAGGTACCTAGATCAAAATGAAAACAAACAAATTCCATTGAAAACAAAAGTACATACTTACAATCATTGCACTATTTTACTACTCTGTTCCATGCTTGCTAGCTTAAACAATTTCAGGAATCAACAATTACTGATACGCACTCGCACAGATTCACCAAACAACAAAAACTAAATACCATTGGATTGACAGTAGTTAGTACGGACGTACTTGATGAAAAGGTACTTTGTCCTATCGCACAAATTAATGTTTAATAAATATACCACTGCCGAGATATGAAACTGAAATTTATTTTATTAATCATTGAAAACGCCAAAACAATGAAACAGTTTGATCATTTTGCTCAACTGATTAGTTATTTATGGACCGATTTCGCGAAATCAAAGTCAGCCGATAGATTAGGTTATCTTATTTATAAATAAATTGTAAGTTGATTTAAACTGCAAAACATAATTTTGGCATTGCGCCGACTATTATTAACACGACGAAAATAACGAGTCACTTATCGACTGGTTGGAATACAGGAACCAATAGAATTATTGTTTTGTTTCAATAAATTCGATGCAAGTTTTGGAAAATTGAAACGTAAATTCCCACCTAATATTGGTTTATTTGATAATTATTGATTGACGTACCTTCATAATGTATAAAATCAAAAAAAAAAAGTGCAAATAATTATGCCATTAATTTGCCAAATTAAATAATTAAAAATTTATTTTAATTTTTTTTTTGTTTCAGTTAATGAGTAGATTAATAAATCTATAGGCAAAATTGCAAATCATTTTTTTTTTTAGATAAAAACCCGCAAGCAAAGGTTATCAATATTATTTTGTGTAAAACGCAATTAAAATTAGAAGCTAATGATACAACGCATTATTTCGGATGAATAATGTGAAATAATCAATCATTGTAAGAAATTTGAAATAATGTCATTTCTACTATTAGATAATACATTATCGTAAATAAATAAACATTATTTTGTAGTTGTTATCAGAAGGATATATAAGGGCTTGCATATTATCTACTATCACCTGATTTTTCTCCCATAATAACATTTTTCATAATGAATCAATCATCATAGATTATCTTACATTAATTACTACTACCTATTAAGAATGATTAGGACAATAATTTACTACTAGTCAAAGATCATTAATTTAACAATTAGTAAATAGCAATAATAGGCTCATAATCATTCTAATAAATAATTAATAAAATTTTTAAGTAGATAATTAGGTATGTTTGTATTCTTATGATGGACTTACCATAAGTTTTCAAAATTTGTATTACAAATTACTCAGTATGAGAAGATATTTTTGCTTTTAGTTTGTAGCACCTTTTAATACCAAACTATATTCAATACAAAGTGGATAAATAAAAAAAATATTGTATGTATTTTGTTTGAGATCTGATAAAAACTGACAAATTTATGTTTCTTTCCTTATCAATCAGGCCAGGAATTGTTCAAATTGGTTTCATGATACCCTAGTGGAAAATAAAATCTAATTAAGAAATTAAATCTTTATTCTATTACTTACAAATGAAATAGGTACAATAAGAGTAGATTTATTTTATTTGGCATAAGCAGAGTTTTTAATTATTGGTTTTTGGAAATTATTAGCAAATTGTAGACATAATTTTCCTATTCTCGGCTCTCGTTGTCGTATTTGCTCTCAAGTTTTCTTTGCATTTGGAGAAGTTTATAAAGAAGCAAGAATTCAAGAGCCAAAAATTGAGACCAAAAAATTGATAAATGAAAAGAAAATTCAAGGCAAATTGAGAAGAAATTATTGGCAAAGCCTAGACATAATTTTTTTATTCTCGGCTCTCGTTCTCGTATTTACTCTCAAGTTTTCTTTGCATTTGGAGAAGTTTAGAAACAAGCAAGAATTCAAGCAGTGTTATCAGATTTAAAATTATCAGGATTTGATAATTTTGTTTATCAGATTCCAAAAAAAATTATCAGAAAATGTTTCTGTCAACTTTTTTGACTTTTTATCTCTATTTTCATTTTTGGGGTTCTAGCTGGGACTCTGGCAATTGTAGCTCTCAATAAGAGCTTCAAAAAAGGTTATTCAAGACTTCGAGCCCAAGGGTTTCGTTTTCAAGATAATCGGCTTTGATGCTTTTGCAAAATTTGAGAAAAAGTTTTGACTTTGAGCCTCAGTATCTTCAAAAGTATTTAAGATATAGAATTGAATCTTATTTTATCTTGAAGATAATTTAATTCTGATTCAGAATATATATATATATATATATATATATATATATATATATATATATATATAATATTACAATGTATTTGTTACAATAATAACCGAGTAATCAGCAACTTTGTGAAAGAATGTCAGATTATTGAAATTTTTTGAGCCCAAAAATTGCAAAAATCGTTTTTATTTTTTAACAAGGCTTTAAACCCAAAAAGGAAAGTTGCGAAAATGCTTTTCTACTAATTTTAACCTCTTCTTTCGATTGGTGAAATCAAAAATTGCAAAATCCATAAAATTTAAAAATTCGAATTTTTCCAAAGGGCCATATTTTGGAAATCAGTGAAGCTATTGGCATGAATCTTTTGCACAATTGTAGCTCTTAATAAGGGCTACAAAAAAGATTATCTAAAACTCCGAGCCCAAGGGCTTCGTTTTCAAGATAATCCGCCTGGAAGCTTTTGAAAAATTTGAGGTAAAGTTTCAACTTTGAGCCTCAATATCTTCACAAGTATTTAATATATAGAATCGAATCTTATTTTATCTTGAAGATAATTTAATTCTGATTCAGAGCATATAATTTTACATTATATTTGAACAATGATAACCGAGTAATCAGCAACTTTGTGAAAGAATGTCAGATTATTGAACTTTTTTGAGCCCAAAAATTGCAAAAATCGTTTTTATTTTTTAACAAGGCTTTAGAACCTAAAAAGGAAAGTTGCGAAAATGCTTTTCTACTAATTTTAACCTCTTCTTTCGATTGGTGAAGTCAAAAATTGCAAAATCCATAGAATTTAAAAATTCGAGTTTTTCGAAGGGGTACCTATGCATGGAAATTTGATTTTCAAATAATTTAAAGGGCAATATTTTGGAAACCAGTGAAGCTTTTGGCATGAATCTTTTGCCCAATTGTAGTTCTTAATAAGGGCTACAAAAAATGTCATTTAAGACTCCGAGCCCAAGGGCTTTGTTTTTAAGATAATCCGCCTGGAAGCTTTTGCAAAATTTGAGGTAAAGTTTCAACTTTGAGCCTCAATATCTTCAGAAGTATTAAGGATATAGAATTTAATTTAATTTTATCTTGAAGATAATTTAATTCTGATTCAGAATATATAATTTTACAATTATTTGTTTCAATAATAACCGAGTAATCAGCAATTTTGTGAAAGAGTGTCAGATTATTGAAATTTTTTGAGCCCAAAAACTGCGAAAATGGTTTTTATTTTTTAACAAGGCTTTAAAACCCAAAAAGGAAAGTTGCGAAAATGTTTTTCTACTCATTTTAACCTCTTCTTTCGATTGGTGAAGTCAAAAATTCCAAAATCGATAAAATTCAAAAATTCGAATTTTTCCAAAGGGGTATGTATGCATGGAAATTTGATTTTCAAATAATTCAAAGGGCCATATTTTGGAAACCAGTGAAGCTATTGGCATGAATCGTTTGCCCATTTGTAGCTCTTAATAAGAGCTACAAAAAAGGTTATTTAAGACTCCGAGCCCAAGGGCTTTGTTTTTTAAGATAATCCGCCTGGATGCTTTTGCAAAATTTTAGGCAAAGTTTCAACTTTGAGCCTCAATATCTTCAGAAGTATTTAAGATATAGAATTTAGTCTTATTTTATCTTGAAGATAATTTAATTCTGATTTAGAATGTATAATTTTACAATGTATTTGTTATAATAATAACCGAGTAATCAGCAACTTTGTGAAAGAATGTCAGATTATTGTACTTTTTTGAGCCCAAAAATTGCAAAAATCGTTTTTATTTTTTGTTACAAGGCTTTAAAGCTCTAAAAACAAAGTTACAAGAATTCTTTTTCACTAATTTTGATCTCCTCTTTTGATTGGTAAAGTCAAACATTGCAAAATCTAAAAATTTGAAAATTCGAATTTTTCCAAAGGGGTATGCATGGGAATTTGATTTTCAAATATTTCAAAGGGCCATATTTTGGAAACCAGTAAAGTTATTGGCATGAAACTTTTGGCTCAATCTGGGACTAGTATTTGGTGCTCGCACCAGTACGCCAAAACACTCAAAATCAACAACCACCTTCAATTTTCTAATAAATTTTAGACTAGAAATTTGAAAAATCTATATTAAAATTGTAGTTTCAATAAATTATGGTAGATTAGCTTGTCATTATCGATTATTGAATCGTAGTCAAAATTATGTAAGAATTCGATAATTATTATCGGGTCATTGGCAACACTGAATTCAAGAGCCAAGAATAGACAAAACTCGTGTTGCATACTTTAAATTCGCTGGATATAAAGCTTGATGATATCACTATAAAGCGAGACAGCTATACATTACACAGAATTGATGATGCCCTTACGACATTGACAGACTCAAATAGGCTTTTCACTTGAGTTCTAAAAAGTGGATACTGGCAGATGATGGGCATTGACGAGAAACACAAAAAGAAGACGGCATTATCCATTGGAAGTGATCTTTACCAATTCAAGGTAATGCCTTTTGGACTTTATAATGCCCCCGCTACTTTCGAAAGGTTGATGGAAATCGTACTACGAGGACTTACGTGGAAAGTATGCCTTGTCTACCTTGATAATCGTTTAGTGATAGAAAATACTTACTTGCATTGGCGGCTCGTCAGAGGAGGCAGGGAAGGCTAAGCCTCCCCCGAAAAATTGAAAATTCAATCTCAGTTTTTTATTCCTGATTCCTGATTAAAATAATTATTCACAAATTACACTTTCCAGATTTCGATATTTCAATGTAATCTGACAACATTATTTCAATCAATTCCGCGCCTCCATACGACAAAAATCTGTGAATCTGGGATACTCAGTAATACGAGCCCGAAGGGCCGGAATTATACGCGAGCTTAAAGGGCTGGAGTAATACGAGCCCGAAGGACTGGAGTTATACGCGAGCCCAAAGGGTTAGAGTTATTTCAATCACGGGGCCAAGTCTATAATTCTATTGGTTAGCGGATAATTTGGAGCATATTTATATCTCTTTTGGAAGAGAATGAAATTATCTACAAAATGTTTTTTTTTATTGAGATTCCAGGCTGATTTCGTCTTTGAGATATCAGCTGTCAAAGTTGAAATTCTTTGTAATTTTGCTAAAATTTTCCAGGTCGATTTTCTCAAAAACGGTGTTCCGTGGCGGGATA